TTATCCAGAGTGACTTACAGTTATTGTATTTATTGTAAAAAATATATATATATACTTGCCCCCCGTGGGAGTCGAACCCACAACCCTGGCGTTGCAAGCGCCATGCTCTACCAACTGAGCTACACAGGGCCCAATGTATCTTATCTTATTTTCATAATTGAACCCTACTGTTTTGAGTTCAAATACATAAACAGCTCAGGAAGGTACTTCTGGTACTGCTGTGTTTTGTCTCTTTTACAATGGAAAGAACTACACTACTATTTCCCAGACTCCCGTAGCAATTGGTAACTATCCCAGCCGTGACATCACCAGGGGGAACAGTTTCAGTGAACTTATCTGGCTTTAGTCTGCTACTGTACAGTAGGTCTGACAGCATGATAACATCCACTTCCAACCATACTTGTTAATAACAAGTTATTTATAAGTTGTTAAAGATTGGACATACAGTACCATATACAAGTATATATTTTTTATAACCAATGTCCTCTGAGTGCATACTGATGAACAGACACAGTAAACACAGCCAACATACAGCACGCACTGTAACATTTCTAAATCTATGCCTTACGTGGTAGCTCACTGCCATACTTTATATTATTACCAGATATAATTTGATCATAACATGAATAACCTATATGTTGGATACAACTGGAGTATGATGATTTATTTATCGTTTTCCCTTTTCATGTATTTATTGAAGAAGATATGACCTGAGTTTGACTGGCATTTGGCCAGACATCTGTAGCCGGTCTCCGACCAACCGCTTCTTTGATTTCAGGGGTCATGATTCTGTCTCATAAACAGCCAGGAAGCACAGCTTCTTTCCATGGTTGCACGTTAGTGTCTCCTCACCTGCCGAGCTTATTACTTTGTCAGTTTGACCCTGTTTGTGGCTGAAATCACTTTTACGACTCAGGCTTAAATTCCAAGGCAGTGCTTGGTGTGTGTGTGTGTATGTGTTTAACTATACTTGTGGGGACCAGAAGTCCCCACAAGAATAGTAAACCAAGAAATATTTGACCAACTGGGGAAGTTTTGTTGGTCCCACAAGGTCAAATGCTATTTCTAGGGGGTTTAGGGTTAAGGTTAGAATTAGTGTTAGAATTAGGTTTAGGGTTAGGGTTAGGAGCTAGGTTTAGGGTTAAGGTTAGGTTTTTGGGTTAAGGTTAGAGTTAGGGTTAAGGTTAGGGTTAGGGTTAAGGGTACGGGTTAGGGTTAGGATTGGAGTTAGGGGTTAGGAAAAATAGGATTTTGAATGGGACTGAATTGTATGTCCCCACAAGGTTAGCTGCACAAGACTGTGTGTGTGTGTGTGTGTGTGTGTGTGTGTGTGTGTGTGTGTGTGTGTGTGTGTGTGTGTGTGTGTGTGTGTGTGTGTGTGTGTGTGTGTGTGTGTGTGTAATGCACACTTTGTGTGAATTTAGCTCCTTTATATTTGATACATTTTATATGTCCCAAGTTAATGTTTTATAGATACATTGCATAGGAATAATCATATCAAATCAGGATTCAATTTAGGCAGTGTTTATGTGGACCTGATGGAATAAGAATAGTTCTAAAAGGGACTAAACAAGAATGTATGTTAAAAAGGAAATTCAAAAGGAGTTTAATTGAATTGAGTATGAAATGAGTAAATTATTGAACATAATTGGATCCCACTTTATGTAGGACGTGACGTGAAATACAGTATCAGTCAAAAGTTTGGACACACCTACTCATTCAAGGGTTTTTCTTTATTTTTACTATTTTCTACATTGTAGAATAATCGAGAAGACATCAAAACTATGAAACAACACATATGGAATCATGTAGTAACCAAAAAAGTAGGTGTGTCCAAACTTTTGACTGGTAGTGTATGTTTTACCATGTTATTGCAGTACTTTCCGTTGTTCCTGTTTGTGGCTTGCACACAAATGAGTTATAAATGTCATAGAGGTGTTTGCAGAGTTGAATGTGAGGTCTCATTACAAACGCATTAAACAAATGGTAAATGTAGTAAAATGTTGTACTCCTACACTGTAATTATACTGCACCTGTCTATGTTGTTAAGTGCATCGTTTGAAACTTTAGATTTGGACCCAACCCTGGGGGGAGTGTGTGTGTGAGTCTGTGTGTGTGTGTGTTTGCAGTGGTGGAAAAAGTACCCAATTGTCATACTTAGTAGAAAATGACTCAAGTAAAAGTGAAAGTCACCCAGTAAAATCCTACTTGAGTAAAAGTCTAAAAGTATTTGGTTTTAAATATACGTAAGTATCAAAAGTAAATGGGGCGGCAGGTAGCTTAGTGGTTAAGAGCGTTGTGCCAGTAACCGAAAGGTTGCTGGTTCTAATCCCCGAGCCGACTAGGTGAAAAATCTGTCGATGTGACCTTGAGCAAGGCACTTAACCCTAATTGCTCCTGTAAGTCGCTCTGGATAAGAGCGACTGCTAAATTACTTAAAAAGTAAAAGTATATATCATTTCAAATTCCTTATATTAAGCAAACCAGACCGTATCATTTTCTTGATTTTTTTAATTTACAGATAGCCAGGGGCACGCTCCAACACTCAGACATCATTTACAAACGAAGCATGTGTTTAGTGAGTCCGCCAGATCAGAGGCAGTAGGGATGACCAGGGATTTCTTTTCGATACAGTAAGTGTGTAAATTAGACCATTTTCCTGTCCTGCTAAGCATTCGAAATGTAACGAGTACTTTTGGGTGTCAGGGAAAATGTATGGAGTAGAAAGTACATCATTTTCTTTAGGAATGTAGTGAAGTAAAAGTAAAAGTTGTCAAAAAGATAAATAGTAAAGTAAAGTTCAGATACACCAAAAAACTACGTAAGTAGTACTTTCAAGTATTTTTACTTAAGTGCTTTACACCACTGTGTGTTTTTGCTCCCATTGTGGCTGGTCAGAATGTGATCAAGATGCATAGTCAGACAGACACTTTACTGTCTGTAAACTACTGATCTTGTTTAAGGAATGTCATCCAGAATATGCAGATTAGGTCTCAGGTCACCTGCAAACAATGTGCCTAAGGCCACTTCAACCCAACAGTTACCGGAAACAAATTAAGATCCTAAATCTGTAGCCCTCATAACATTCCTTACAAGACCCTGACATAATTGTGTTCTTTCAGTTTAACCAAAGACAGATTCCAAAGACAGATTGCAAAAACAGATGTCAAAGCCACTGTATAATGGTATTAAACCCGTTTCCAAATGTTTAAAGGGTTTACCAGTGACAGTTTACCACTGTCCAAAAGTGCCCCTGTGAATAGTCCCCAGGGATCTATGAAACAATGGCTGGTCCGACAGGGCCTGGCATTTTTATCTGCCTCACACAGCATGTTTTAAGACCAAGTGGGACACCAAAGTGACCCGTTTGAACTTTTGCTTAATTGTGGTCTAGCTAATCATTAGCTTAATGTATTTGAAGCATTGCAGCCCAGTCTCATGTTTTTTGAAAAAGTGTATTATTTTGTAATTGACTGAATTGACTTTCAGATGTCAAATTTGGACAATTTGAGATCTTGTCGTGGCTCAAGCCCCTGCCATACAGACATTTTGTGTGTATCCGACAAAAACCGCAAATGGTTTTTTGACTGAGCTCATACATCATTTGTTATGTACATACATCAATAGTTGAAATGAGTTAAAAGTTTGACAGATAAACAGATGTGTAATGCATTCTTCATACATTTAATCTGTCTCTGTGTAGTCCGGGGCAACCTGATTTGCTACTGTTCATATCATGCCATTTTTTAGCCACACCGTGACCGTATTACCTGCGTGGCCATTTTCGACTCTGATGACCTCCAAGGGAGGAAACGTGACATTTTAAGTTCAGTACCATCTTCTATGGACCTATTATCTATCACCTCCTATCATCCCTCCCTATCTCCCTCCTCAAAATGATGTGGAATTGAATTAGACTCCGTCCACTCTTTAATTTAGGTTATCATCCTTTTCCCCCTTGTCTCATTGGTAGTCCTTTGTATTCTGCACCTCCTCCAGCTGCTGTATGACGATAGAGACGACAGTGCAGGGACACAGAGGATATTATCTATGGCTGAGTCCCGAATGGCACCCTCTGTCAATTATAGTGCATTACTTTTGACCAGACCCCTACGCATCCTGGTCAAAAGTATAGTGCACTATATAGGGAATAGGGTGAATTTGGGATGCAGCCAATGTGTTGTTGAGCTCCTTTACGCAGCACTCATTGTTAATAGAGTGTCTGAATTGCCTCCAGCTCTCAGTTGCTGCCATGGCTCTGCAGCGCTCTTTAATTCCAGTCAGTTAGATCTTATCTCTAATCTTCCCCCCCCCCCTGGAAGCGTTTTCATCTTCCAGGTTTCATTTCAATCTTTGACAGAAACCTCCTTGCTAAATTTTAGAGTGTGGAATCCACTTCTGTTCCTGTTCCTAATTTGGGCAAAGAGGGGGAGAAGTTTGGGGGAAAGTGTGGGTCGGGTCAGTCTGTTGCATAACATGCTCAGACTGGCATGGGGACGGGGGTGGAGGGGGTGACAGACATTAGTCACACAGGCCTCCCTGAAACACTACAGGCATTAGTCATTAGACCATGAAAGGTCTGGATACGAAGGCTACAATTCAGCTGATTGAAGTAGGCCAATTAGATAATAACAAAAGAGAAGCAACCCAGTTGATTGATGACCACCACATAATGCCAAGCTGTGTCTAGAAAGGACTGGAGCACTAATGGTCTGTCACCGTCTATTTTACGGACACTAGTGTTTGAAGACAGACTTCTTCTAAGGGAACAGTATCATCAGCATGGTGAAAAGAAAGTTGTCTGGATATGTGCTCTTCTCTTCTCATGCCTAGGATGGTATTTAAGGGTCAGGTTGCTACCTTTGATCAGCCAAGATAGGCCTAAGGGGTAAACTTTAAGGGATTATGTATAATTGTAGGCTACAGAAAGTTACTCTAATGGAATATTTATCTGTTGAAATTTCTCATGATGTTGTGTGTCTTTCTTTCTTGGTTTTCAGATTTGGATACGCGTCTGTGTCCATTTATTGCTGTGCATCACACTTGGAGTCCAGTCAAGTGAATTTGGAAGCACTGTAACAGATGACATCACAAGCATTTCACTATTGGTAAGTACTTCTTTCTTCAAGCCACCAAAACTTCAAATCAAAGTTCTTTGGCAAATGCTCTTACTGTATTTAACTGTCTCGATCCAGTTACTACCAGTATGGTTTCATTCTTATCCAGTTCTTAGATAGGTGGATTGCACGATCCAATCCAATTGATTGTAATCCTCTCAAAATCAACCATTATGCTTATGCGTAACATTGTTGCAATGCCAGTTGTAAACAATTACATTTGTAGACTTGAAAGTATACTTTGATACATTCATCCATCTAGAATCAGTCATTGTTTTCTAAAACCACTGATGGGGATTGTCATGAGAGTCTCACACAGTAGGACATCCTGCATTACCATTAGTGTAAACCAGTAGCTTCATCTCTGAGATTTGTTCTGGTAACAAACTCAAATGTTCCCCAAACATTTCTGCTAACATTTCTTGATATTGTCTGTTTTTGAACAGAAACAAAATATACCTAAAGATTACAAGATTCCTGTGACATACGTTCCGAAAGAAGTGGTAAGATGTTATTTCTTCTTCTCATGATTACACTATTATTATAACTTAATATGTTTGTATTCCTTACAAAATATAATTGAATGTCTGCGTTGCCTGACTTTGGTAGAGGGTGGACTATAATTTGTCTGTTGTGGTACATTTCAAAACAGTATGTATCACAACTGTCCAGTACACATGATTCTGATTTCTTGATTTATTTTCTTTTTCAGGGTGGAATGTGTTGGGTAACGCTAAACGTTTTCCACTTGGAACTCAGTTTACGAGGATTAGCAGACAAGTTTGGAAGCATTTCATCCAACAAATATAATATCAGCATATTGATCGAAATGCTGAAAGAGACACGATATCACATGAAGAACTTGGTACGTTTGCACCTTTGGTTCTAATACTAATATTGTAACTGTGATAGCTCTTATGACAGGTTTCTTTTAATGAGGACACATGTAAAAAAATGCTAAAATGCACCTTTGAAGTGCATTACTGTACATATTTATCATACCAATATGTAATTACCAATTACAATTATCGCAATAAGAATACCACCCACAGTGCAACATGGCAGTTAAAGGCTTCAACTGCTTCAAAACATTGAAGGCTGAATTGGCAAAGGTCTTGTTGGATAGATGCTTTGATTGGGAGTACTACCTAGCTGCCTCGGGTAGAGGTGGTCAATAAAACATCCATTCATGCAATCCTTTCTGGCCCAATCACATGAAATAGAATAATACAATAAATTAATAAACAGGGTACACAAGTCCTTAGCACAAATAGACCAGTGACCACATCATTTCACATCTGAGTTGTCTGCAATGATGTCTTGTGAGGACTGGATCATCTATCAGGTAGATCAGGTATTCACAAAGGGACCTGGGGTCTCTCGTAGTCTCATGAGAGTGAAGAAGTACGTTCATAATGCAGATCTAATAACTTCTTAAAGCATATTACTTATATTATTCTGGCTAACTTTTCTGAATCCAACAGGGATAATGAAGTCCCCCTTGTCCTGAATAAAGAGACAAGACTGAAGTTACTCCATATAACATCTTACATCTGGGCTCAAACATATCTGTCCATCTGTGTTCTTTGAACTATTTGCTGCATGGCTAAAGCCATGGAGGGATAAAAGCTAAAGCTAACATTAAATGGTCTATCAACAGCTAAAAACCACTATCATTTCTGTTTTGAATTTCACATAATTGAGATTATTATTCCCCTTTTGTCTCCACAGGAGGCGATCACGTACGATTTTGAGTGCCACTACAGAGATGAGCAATGGCAGACAGGACACTATTTTCATTTTGTCGAAGATTTTTTAAAAACGGCCCGTTCGAATAGAGATTTGCCAGAAGAATGCGATCCACCTCCCTGTCCAATAACAACAACGGCAGCAACAATAACAACACAATACCCCACATCAGGTAAATGTTGAGGTGTTTTTTTAAAGAGTTGTAAATGTTATCTAACATCATTGCTGCATTCGCTCATATTCAGATAGTGGTCAATTCTGATGTGCCATAGGAGTCGGCGCTCAGTTTCAACCTTGTTAACTAGTGTGGAATATCCTGTGGTGCTCATCATAAAAACTATTATCTGTCTCCTTTGGTGGATGGGCACCGGTACCTCTCCATTAAACTATTCCTCTTGTGAACAGTCTTTTTTTTTATAGGTCAGATCTCGTGTCGGTTTCGGTTGCATGTCTTTTTTATCCGTGTCCTACACAGAATCTTCGTTCTATTTTTTTGTTCAAAGAACTTCACATGACAAAACATGAAATGTACAAGGTGTTTGGAAGGTCCATTGGGACATTAGTGCTGCAGCTGAGTCACAGAACCAAAGAAAGATGTCCCCTGATGGACCCCATGAAAGGAAGAAAAGGACTGAAGCCCCAATTGTGGAAGTGTTGATTACAGAGCAATCTTCAGATCTTCCCAAGCGCTTGGCCTTTCTTTCCTGGAGCGGACAGATCTGATCTTTTGTCCGATGGAAAGAAAAGGTGGCTGTGATGTGACTTTATAGGCGTCAACAATGAACTGTTTTCATCATTGGGCATTAACACTCTCTCTCTCTCTATCTCTATCTCTATCACTATCTATATCTTTCTCTCTCTATCCAGTCAACGCTCCTGCCATAGGAACAGAATTTGACATCACAGCACCAGGCTCCGAAACCTGTAAGTAAAAAGAAATAAACTGTGGCACAGATTAAGTTGCTGAAAGTGTCCAAAGAGTAGCAATGTAATGCAACCAGTCAAACTGGTGTAGGCCTACTAGCTACATGGCTACTCTTCTTGACTAATAGTATTTTCAAAAAGTAAACTAAAATCTTAAATGTATATATTTTTTTGTTCATCATACTACCGTCATCAACATTTCATGAATGTGTAATTCAATGATTTCATTGAATTACACATAATTTAAAAGCCCCTTTCATAGAGAATGTAACAAACTGGACTATATGTAGTAACTTACTTTGAAGAGATGGTGATTGGGTCTAAATAGATGTTTGGCATTTGGTAGTCTAAATTCAGTGTACTTGTCTTTAACTGCCAAATCCCGGAAAGTCAGACTCTTCCCACAAGCCAACCAATTTTCCTCAGCTTCAGAAGCATCTACATTCACCAGATTTTGTGTGGTTATCCATAGCTATATTATTGGGAATTGTTGATATGTTGTACATTTTATATTCTATATAACATTTTCTTTAGAAAAATGGTCCAAAATATCTTTAGTATTTTACAGATAGAAAGATGAAAACAAGTATTTATCCACAATCTACTCTGAGCAAGTCCAGTCCTGGAGTGTCTTAACTAAATGAAACCAACATATTTAGGCTGACTTAATCCAGTGTCCCGAAAAATTGATTAGCGTAATATGCAAATATGCACATATTTAATATTTCATTTGTATATTTGTATACAATATTTCTACCGTACGTTATTTTTTGTGTTATATTGATTACTGCATTGTTGGGTTTGGAACTTACAAGAATGGCATTTCACTGTACTTGTGCACATGACATTAACACTTTTAACTTATTTAAGAAAATGTGTAATGCAAAAAAGTATTATATTTGTATCTACTTTTAACTGGCAAAAGTTGACTCATGTCTGTTCTACCAGAGCTGTTATGTGTCTCCTCCCTCACTGACCACCACGAACATAGCGTGAGCCATGAGGTGTGATGGATCTACTGTATCCAATCATTTTCCATGCATCAATCATGGCTATGAGACATGCGATGGATAGGAGACATGTTTTGATATTGAGATAACAACGGCTGCATTGAACCTTTAATTTGCTGTGAAACATCAATTTACAGCAAAATAAAGGTTCAATGCAGCTGTTTTTATCTCAATATCAAATCATTTCTGAATGACAATGAAGTACCATACTCTGATTGTTTTCAATTAAAATGGTCAAAAATAAACAAAAATAGCTTGTTAGCAAAGAGCAATTTCTCAAACAAGGATTTTGCTAACAAATTTACCCCCTGGTGATGTCACCAGCCAGGCCAAAACTCCATCCCACCAGAACAGGCTGAAATTTCAGGCGGTCTTTTCAAGCAGCTCTTATACTAACAGGGCATTATCATCATTTTCACAATTTCACGGTTTCATTCCAACCTCATAGTGTGGAAATATATATACAGTTGAAGTCGGAAGTTTACGTACACTTAGGTTGGAGTCATTAAAACTCGTTTTTTCAATCACTCCACACATTTCTTGTTAACAAACTATAGTTTTGGCAAGTCGGTTAGGAAATCTACTTTGTGCATGACACAAGTAATTTTTCCAACAATTGTTTACAGACAGATTATTTCACTTATAATTCACTGTATCACAATTCCAGTGGGTCAGAAGTTTACATACACTATGTTGACTGTGCCTTTAAACAGCTTGGAAAATTCCAGAAAATGATGTCATGTCTTTAGAAGCTTCTGATAGGCTAATTGACATCATTGGAGTCAATTGGAGGCCTACCTTCAAACCCAGTGCCTCTTTGCTTGACATCACGCTGGAGGAAACAGGTACAAAAGTATCAATATCCACAGTAAAACGAGTCCTATATCAACATAATCTGAAAGGCCGCTCAGCAAGGAAGAAGCCACTGCTCCAAAACCGCCATAAAAAGACAGACTACGGTTTGCAACTGCACATGGGGACAAAGATCGTACTTTCTGGAGAAATGTCCTCTGGTCTGATGAAACAAACATATAACTGTTTGGCCATAATGACCATCGTTATGTTTGGAGGAAAAAGGGAGTACCTTGAAAGCCGAAGAACACCATCCCAACCATGAAGCACAGGGGTGGCAGCATCATGCTGTGGGGGTTCTTTGCTGCAGGAGGGACTGGTGCACTTCACAAAATAGATGGCATAATGAGGATGGAAAATTATGTGGATATATTGAAGCAACATCTCAAGACATCAGTCAGGAAGTTAAAGCTTGGTCGCAAATGGGTCTTCCAAATGGACAATGACCCCAAGCCTACTTCCAAAGTTGTGGCAAAATGGCTTAACGACAACAAAGTCAAGGTATTGGAGTGGCCATCACAAAGCCCTGACCTCAATCCTATAGAACATTTGTGGGCAGAACTGAAAAAGTGTGTGCACGCAAGGAGGCCTACAAACCTGACTCAGTTGCACCAGCTCTGTCAGGAGGAATGGGCCAAAATTCACCCAACTTATTGTGGGAAGCTTGTGGAAGGCTACCCGAAACGTTTGACGCAAGTTAAACAATTTAAAGGCAATGCTACCAAATACTGAGTGTATGTAAACTTCTGACCCACTGGGAATGTGCTGAAATAATAATTATCTCTACTATTATTCTGACATTTCACATTCTTAAAATAAAGTGGTGATCCTAACTGACCTAAGACAGGGAATTTTTACTAGTACTAAATGTCAGAAATTGTGAAAAACTGAGTTTAAATGTATATGGCTGTTTGTAAACTTCCGACTTCAACTGTATAACACAGGAAAATCATGTTTTTTATTTCCTTTAACATGTGGGAAAAAAACATCCCAGTCAGGCAAATACAGTGGGGAAAAAAAGTATTTAGTCAGCCACCAATTGTGCAAGTTCTCCCACTTAAAAAGATGAGAGAGGCCTGTAATTTTCATCATATGTACACGTCAACTATGACAGACAAAATGAGAAAAATATATCCAGAAAATCACATTGTAGGATTTTTTATGAATTTATTTGCAAATTATGGTGGAAAATAAGTATTTGGTCAATAACAAAAGTTTCTCAATACTTTGTTATATACCCTTTGTTGGCAATGACACAGGTCAAACGTTTTCTGTAAGTCTTCACAAGGTTTTCACACACTGTTGCTGGTATTTTGGCCCATTCCTCCATGCAGATCTCCTCTAGAGCAGTGATGTTTTGGGGCTGTCGCTGGGCAACACGGACTTTCAACTCCCTCCAAAGATTTTCTATGGGGTTGAGATCTGGAGACTGGCTAGGCCACTCCAGGACCTTGAAATGCTTCTTACGAAGCCACTCCTTCCTTGCCCGGGCGGCGTGTTTGGGATCATTGTGATGCTGAAAGACCCAGCCACGTTTCATCTTCAATGCCCTTGCTGATGGAAGGAGGTTTTCACTCAAAATCTCACGATACATGGCCCCATTCATTCTTTCCTTTACACGGATCAGTCGTCCTGGTCCCTTTGCAGAAAAACAGCCCCAAAGCATGATGTTTCCACCCCCATGCTTCACAGTAGGTATGGTGTTCTTTGGATGCAACTCAGCATTCTTTGTCCTCCAAACACGACGAGTTGAGTTTTTACCAAAAAGTTATATTTTGGTTTCATCTGACCATATGACATTCTCCCAATCCTCTTCTGGATCATCCAAATGCACTCTAGCAAACTTTAGACGTGCCTGGACATGCACTGGCTTAAGCAGGGGGACACGTCTGGCACTGCAGGATTTGAGTCCCTGGCGGCGTAGTGTGTTACTGATGGTAGACTTTGTTACTTTGGTCCCAGCTCTCTGCAGGTCATTCACTAGGTCCCCCCGTGTGGTTCTGGGATTTTTGCTCACCGTTCTTGTGATCATTTTGACCCCACAGGGTGAGATCTTGCGTGGAGCCCCAGATCGAGGGAGATTATCAGTGGTCTTGTATGTCTTCCATTTCCTAATAATTGCTCCCACAGTTGATTTCTTCAAACCAAGCTGCTTACCTATTGCAGATTCAGTCTTCCCAGCCTGGTGCAGGTCTACAATTTTGTTTCTGGTGTCCTTTGACAGCTCTTTGGTCTTGGCCATAGTGGAGTTTGGAGTGTGACTGTTTGAGGTTGTGGACAGTTGTCTTTTATACTGATAACAAGTTCAAACAGGTGCCATTAATACAGGTAACGAGTGGAGGACAGAGGAGCCTCTTAAAGAAGAAGTTACAGGTCTGTGAGAGCCAGAAATCTTGCTTGTTTGTAGGTGACCAAATACTTATTTTTCACCATAATTTGCAAATAAATTCATAAAAAATCCTACAATGTGATTTTCTGGGGAAAAAATGCTCAATTTGTCTGTCATAGTTGACGTGTACCTATGATGAAAATTACAGGCCTCTCTCATCTATTTCAGTGGGAGAACTTGCACAATTGGTGGCTGACTAAATACTTTTTTCCCCCACTGTATCTATGTTTACTATATCTACTGTATCTACGTTTAGTTCCAGGCAAAGTCCCAGACTGAGTCAGTAAGAAGTTGAGGAGGTTATATTACAATTATTTGCCAGCTTTCAAATACAAATTGTTGTTATACAAACAATTTGAATTATCTGATTACATATGATTTCTTTGTTTTCTCCATTTCAGTATTATTCTTTCTGACTCGAAACCTGTCTGTCCACACAGGGAACGAGCCTCTGAGGTTCCTGCCAGAAATAGTGGAGAGAAGCCTCCTGTCACTACTTGTCATTCCTATTGCAGCCGTCGTGTTACTGTTTGTGTGGAAGGTGAGCTGTCCATTGACCCAATCTACAACCTAAAATGGTTCTATCTACAACCTAAAAGGGTTCTTCAGTTGTCCCCATAGGAGAATCCTTTGAAGAACCCTTTTTGGTTCCAGGTAGAACCCTTTTGGTTCCAGGTAGAACCCTTTTGGGTTCAATGTAGAACCCAAAAAGGGTTCTACTTGGAACCAAAAAGGGTTATTCTATGGGGACAGCGGAATAACCCTTTTGCAACCCATTTTTCTAAGAGTGTAAGGACCTGCAACTTAAAACGTGACTGTTGACGATTGCTCAGTCATTCCAGTGTTTGAGTCTGGTGCAACTCGGTCTATAGATTGTTGTTTTGTCTGTGGACATTGTACTGTCTATGTTCATTGTTAATCTCTTTGATTGTAAGTCATTGTATTTTTTCTTGTCTTTGATGGTTGTTTTGTCTTTGACCGTCTGGGTGTTTCTTTACCAGTACCACTTTGACTTTGCTGTTTTGTATTTTTGTTAGAGAATTTTACTTTGTTTGTGCTTGTGGGTTACCATGGGTTCCCTTTGTGTTTAACAGTGTTACTCTCTGATCTAACAGGTGAAATCCAGGAGGAACCAACATCAGTCAGATGGACAGAACTCAGTGGAAGGAAGCCTTTTCACAGGAGCAGAAGGAACTTTGGCACCTCCACTAGAGGAACCATCTGAAAAGTAAAGACATTCACTCATCTTTCATTGAATTTAATCGATCAATTCCTGCATATTAATATTATAAAATCACTAATCTTAATATCGGACACAAAAATATATCAAAGGTTTGCGTATGCAAAAATAATCAACTAGTTTTAAGGTGAGGTGAATTTGTATACATTTTTAAATAGGTATTTCATTATAATTGTTTTGTCCACTACAGGAACAGATTGAACGTTGAGACAGTGTAATTCTTTGAATCCTTGGAAATTGGTGAGATTTATATTATTCTTCATATACAGTGGGGGAAAAAAGTATTTAGTCAGCCACCAATTGTGCAAGTTCTCCCACTTAAAAAGATGAGAGAGGCCTGTAATTTTCATCATAGGTACACGTCAACTATGACAGACAAATTGAGGAAAAAAAATCCAAAAAATCACATTGTAGGATTTTTAATGAATTTATTTGCAAATTATGGTGGAAAATAAGTATTTGGTCACCTACAAACAAGCAAGATTTCTGGCTCTCACAGACCTGTAACTTCTTCTTTAAGAGGCTCCTCTGTCCTCCACTTGTTACCTGTATTAATGGCACCTGTTTGAACTTGTTATCAGTATAAAAGACACCTGTCCACAACCTCAAACAGTCACACTCCAAACTCCACTATGGCCAAGACCAAAGAGCTGTCAAAGGACACCAGAAACAAAATTGTAGACCTGCACCAGGCTGGGAAGACTGAATCTGCAATAGGTAAGCAGCTTGGTTTGAAAAAATCAACTGTGGGAGCAATTATTAGGAAATGGAAGACATACAAGACCTGTCAAGAATGCTGTAGGTGGGTGTAGTGGTGGAATCAAGCGCAGGACACCGAAGTATAGTCCAAAAGACTTTAGTGCAATTTCCAACAAGGAAAATGAACAAACTTGCCCGAAGGCGAAAACTACGCACGAAGGCGACAAAACAAAAGGCGCACTAAACATGTGCGTAAACGCTCCAACACAGTGGAGTAAAGCTCAACCGAGCGAATAAGCAATAAACAAGCAACACCACACGACAGAAATAAATCAATCACACACAACACTAGACAAACACAACGAGAAACTTATAGGACACTAATTACACTAAACGAGAAACAGGTGTCACAACAAACAGACAAAAGCAAACGAACATGAAACATACAACGGTGGCAGCTAGTATTCCGGAGACAACGAACACCGAAGCCTGCCCGAACAAGGAAGAGAGGTAGCCTCGGCCGAAACCGTGACAAGACCACTGATAATCTCCCTCGATCTGGGGCTCCACGCAAGATCTCACCCCGTGGGGTCAAAATGATCACAAGAACAGTGAGCAAACATCCCAGAACCACACGGGGGGACCTAGTGAATGACCTGCAGAGAGCTGGGACCAAAGTAACAAAGCCTACCATCAATAACACACTACGCCGCCAGGGACTCAAATCCTGCAGTGCCAGACGTGTCCCCCTGCTTAAGCCAATACATGTCCAGGCCCGTCTGAAGTTTGCTAGAGTGCATTTGGATGATCCAGAAGAGGATTGGGAGAATGTCATATGGTCAGATGAAACCAAAATATAACATTTTGGTAAAAACTCAACTTGTCGTGTTTGGAGGACAAAGAATGCTGAGTTGCATCCAAAGAACACCATACCTACTGTGAAGCATTGGGGTGGAAACATCATGCTTTGGGGCTGTTTTTCTGCAAAGGGACCAGGACGACTGATCCGTGTAAAGGAAAGAATGAATGGGGCCATGTATCGTGAGATTTTGAGTGAAAACCTCCTTCCATCAGCAAGGGCATTGAAGATGAAACGTGGCTGGGTCTTTCAGCATGACAATGATCCCAAACACACCGCCCGGGCAACGAAGGAGTGGCTTCGTAAGAAGCACTTCAAGGTCCTGGAGTGGCCTAGCCAGTCTCCAGATCTCAACCCCATAGAAAATATTTGGAGGGAGTTGAAAGTCCGTGTTGCCCAGCGACAGCCCCAAAACATCACTGCTCTAGAGGAGATCTGCATGGAGGAATGGGCCAAAATACCAGCAACAGTGTGTGAAACCTTGTGAAGACTTACAAAAAACGTTTGACCTGTGTCATTGCCAACAAAGGGTATATAACAAAGTATTGAGAAACTTTTGTTATTGACCAAATACTTATTTTCCACCATAATTTGCAAATAAATTCATTAAAAATCCTACAATGTGATTTTCTGGATTTTTTTCCCTCATTTTGTCTGTCATAGTTGACGTGTACCTATGATGAAAATTACAGGCCTCTCTCATCTTTTTAAGTGGGAGAACTTGCACAATTGGTGGCTGACTAAATACTTTTTTTCCCCACTGTAATTTGTGACCACGGACAGAGACAGAGAACCATCTTAGCCAACTCCTAAAATGTATGGCTTGACAATGAAGAATATGGAACTAGGATACTTTGTTTTAGCTACCTGTATGTAAAGCTTAACAAAAATGTTATTCTTCTTTCTCTTTCTCTCTTAGGTGTACAGAGGAATCGTCTGAGAAAGAGCAAGCAAACATAAAACTGCATTTCTTACGGATATTTGAGGTGAAAGACTCGCTTCTTTCCTGTCTAGAAACTGCCAGTCCTCACATACCAGAACCAGAGAATGACATTGCATAGACTCCACATGAAAATCGTATCATTCCTGCTATGAGCTGGGAAAAGCTTTGTTTTTCTTACAATAATATTAACCCGTCATCTACTATCAAATTTTGTCAAAGGAAGCTGAAAAGGAGACCGGATTGTCATGGAAACATCTAGAGGCGCCAATAACGGTCAAAATATGACTCATATCACCCAAAACTGCCGAAAACACAGTAAACTTTACAGGACAAAGTTGGTTTCACAAGCACTCTCCCATTTGTACTTTGTGTGGGTTTGGCTGGAGTGTAGATACCAGCTCTACTTGAGAATGGGGCAGTGCTTTTCTTTTTTAAGAACCCTTTTCGGTTCCAGGTAGAACCCTTTTGGGTTCCATGTAGAACCCTTTTGGGTTCCATGTAGAACCCTTTCCACAAAGGACTGAAGCAGAAATGACTACCTCTAGTCGCCCTCACTTTCCTCACCTTCTTCTCAGCAGCATTCTACTCCACTTCCATATTCATCTGGGTTTCCATTGGACATTCCCTGGAATAAATGTTGAAATTAGTTAGCTAGAAATATTCTCAGATCTAAGCATCTGTTTTGTTTCATGTTTTTGGCCGTGTATGTACCGAATGGATGAGGTTGTATGATGTATTTATTTATTTACTCAGAATGCTGACAGCACCGTATTGCTGCGGTTGAAAAAAAAACGAACAGACAATGATTCAGCTTCTCTATAAAAAATACTAAATGAGCAGGAAAAGGTCTACAAGGGTGCATTATAACCCCTTCTTTTGCCATGCATAAAGCCCTCATAAGCAGCACATAAGCATGTATGAACACATGCTTTATCTACAGTCGTGGTCAAAAGTTGTGAGAATGACACAAATATTAATTTTCACAAAGTCTGCTGCCTCAGGTTTTATGATGGCAATTTGCATATACTCCAGAATGTTATGAAAAGTGATCAGATCAATTCCAATTAATTGCAAAGTCCCTCTTTGCCATGAAAATTAACTTAATCCCCCAAAAACATTTCCACTGCATTTCAGCCCTGCCACAAAAGGACCAGCTGACATCATGTCAGTGATTCTCTCATTAACACAGTGTTGACAAGGACAAGGCTGGAGATCACTCTGTCATGCTGATTGAGTTAGAATTACAGACTGGAAGCTTTAAAAGGAGGGTGGTGCTTGAAATCATTGTTCTTCCTCTGTTAACCATGGTTACCTGCAAGGAAACACATGCCGTCATCATTGCTTTGTACAAAAAGGGCTTCACAGGCAAGGATATTGCTGCTAGTAAGATTGTACCTAAATCAACCATTTATCGGATCATCAAGAACTTCAAGGAGAGAGGTTCAATTGTTGTGAAGAAGGCTTCAGGGCGCCCAAGAAAGTCCAACAAGCGCCAGGACTGTCTCCTAAAGTTGATTCAGCTGCGGGATCGGGGCACCACCAGTGCAGAGCTTGCTCAGGAATGGCAGCAGGCAGGTGTGAGTGCATCTGCACGCACAGTGAGGCAAAGACTTTTGGAGGATGGCCTGGTGACAAGAAGGGCAGCGAGGAAGCCACTTCTCTCCAGGAAAAACATCAGGGACAGACTGATATTCTGCAAAAGGTACATGGATTGGACTGCTGAGGACTGGGGTAAAGTCATTTTCTCTGATGAATCCCCTTTCCGATTGTTTGGGGCATCCGGAAAAAAGCTTGTCCGGAATAGACAAGGTGAGCGCTACCATCAGTCCTGTGTCATGCCAACAGTAAAGCATCCTGAAACCATTCATGTGTGGGGTTGCTTCTCAGCCAAGGGAGTGGGCTCACTCACAATTTTGCATAAGAACACAGCCATGAATAAAGAATGGTACCAACATATCCTCCGAGAGCAACTTCTCCCAACCATCCAAGAACAGTTTGGTGACGAACAATGCCTTTTCCAGCATTATGGAGCACCTTGCCATAAGGCAAAAATGATAACTAAGTGGCTCGGGGAACAAAACATTGACATTTTGGGTCCATGGCCAGGAAACTCCCCAGACCTTAATCCCATTGAGAACTTGTGGTTGATCCTCAAGAGGCGGGTGGACAAACAAAAACCCACAAATTCTGACAAACTCCAAGCATTGATTATGCAAGAATGGGCTGCCATCAGTCAGGATGTGGCCCAGAAGTTAATTGACAGCATGCCAGGGCGGATTGCAGAGGTCTTGAAAAAGAAGGGTCAACACTGCAAATATTGACTCTTTGCATAAACTTAATGTAATTGTCAATAATAGCCTTTGACACTTATGGAATGCTTGTAATTATACTTCAGTATACCATAGTAACATCTGACAAAAATATCTAAAAACACTGAAGCAGCGAACTTTGTGAAGACCAATACTTGTGTCATTCTCAAACCTTTTGACCA